CATCAAGACAACCTCACCAAAAGAAGCGGAGATCACGGCCTATGTATGTGTATGCTTGCACAAATTTAGAGTGCAATAATGTCTTCCCCTTCAGTTACTCCAGTGCTGACCACTATGCTCAGAATGAACTGCAAAAAATGCCATGTAGAATTCCTAAAAAACTGGTGGGATACTTACCTGAATTCTTTAATTCATTCTATTATTAGGTTACTTCAGAGAACATCGGTGAGCTCCTGAGACAACTGCTGCAAAAGTAAATCCCATAGGCTACTAGATGTGGTTTTTTTAGATGGCAATTTTTACTTTGCAGAATATGAAATGCAGTTTTTGCATTGCTAAAGTTAGTATTTACAGAAAGGGTTTCCAGAAACATAGAAAAAAACCACCAACAAAAAGCCTCACACTTCCTATCTTTAGGAATATGAACCTGTGCCTATTCCTACCTCAATGTATTAGTTGAAACCAGAGTTTAAAGTTGTCTCCTCATGTTTTTCTTAACTAGATTATTTCAAGATTGATAACTATTTTCTTGAGCTCCTGAATTTATACCAAAAAAGAAAGACTCAAGAGAAAACTTAGAATTCTGTTCTGCAGTTGAGCATCTCTCGCCCATTACTTTACATTCACACAACCAATGAAAAAAGCACAAACTGTTTCGAGTCTGTACATCATGAGTATTAGTCTATTTGCAATAGTTTCTACAATTTGTAGAAAATGAATTAATCTGGCATAAAAATCAGTACCTAAAGAAAGGCAACATGACAACCTAGATTTGCAGAGAAGACCCTAAGAAACATTTCTGTACAACTATACTCTTGATTCTTTCTTTTCCACAGTGCTGGAACCAGAGGAAAGCACCGGCACTTGCCACACTTGGGACAGCTGAGCATCCATATGGCAGTCAGGGCACCGCATAGTCAATGTAAGGGGTACTTAGAGCTGCAAAGCTGCCTCAGGTCTCTGTTAATCCTACTTCAAGGTCATTTTTATGTCCATTCTTCTTCCACTTTTAAGACAGACAGACTCTACTGTCCTTTTATTCATAGAGCAACTTCAGTTACTGCTGAAAAATTATGGTTTTCTTTCACCCCACTACGTAAAGTGTCGGCATAGGTAAAGTCAGCAGCAAGATTCTCACCAAGTGTAACAAGGCTACGGGTCCACACTGAACAGATGTGTCCGAAGGAAAAACAGAACAGTCCTTTTTTGTTTGTAGAAATCAATCTCATATTGATGACCACTCACATTTATGACACAGCCTCCATTTAATATCTACAAACATATACCTAATTATTAAGACATATCTAATCAGTTAGCCAAAGAATACCTGTCTAGTAATCTAATGCTGCTAATGCTAATTACGACATCCTATCCATACAAAAGTATTGCATAGCAATGCAATGATTAATGTTAATTCCAACAGCATGTACTACTAATTGAGATATTTATGAATGTTCACGTGACACATGGGAATGTGCCAATTCTGAAGTCTTATCAGTGTTTCAGATTAATTTGATAAACAGAAGCCTGACACACCTTTGTATTATAACAGACACTTCAATAATGCCCTAGATACATTCAATAACATGGCATCTTTATTCAAAACCCATTTTGACACCTACTAATATTCCATAAATAATGGGATCAGATTAAAGTCTCGCCAAAATTCATTATGAAGTATTAAACCTGTCTAATCTGTTATCACTACTACTAACAAAAAGAATGCAAATGCCAGGAAGTACAGGAAGTTATGAGAATTTTCCTCAGGAGCATTGTAGAACAGTCTGAATCAGAGGATGCACTGTCATGCCTATGCGAGGCTCTTTATTAGTTGCTTTTAAACCAGAACACATCTTTCTACTTTTCACTTCAACTTAGTCTACCATTTCTCCTCTGTAGTTTTGGAAGCTGTTATTCATCCTCTCAGCTTTGCCTCAAATGATTATTGCACATACGAGCATTAGAAGGAAGACATTATATTAGAAAGATATTGAGTATTGCCATCAGCTGCCTTATGGTTAAAACTGCATTAGAGCTAAAAATCACAGTTGAACATAGAAGTAAACTTTTTGTTTGGAAAGTATCACAATGTTTTTTCTAACTTCCTATTAAACTATTTCACACAGTTAACTAGGACCCAGTGTTTAGTGTGTTAGCAAAACTGATTTTGTTGAGGATCTCTGGCAATACTCTTGCCACTCAGAGATGTTCTACCACTTTTGTAACTTAACTTGCACATTTAATCTGACTTCCTAAGGAAAAGAGACTGCCATGATTTCACTGGATGTGTTCAGTATGCAAAAAATAGTCCTGCAAGTTGTTAATTTTCAGTTTCCAGAGTCTACCATATCAAGATTGTCAAAAGCAGGATCTTAATATTAGGTTGCCTATTTAGTGGTCTAAAGTTCAAGGTGATTGAGCACAGAGAATTTTTCATACAGGCAGCAGAGCAAGAGATGCAGCAACTCAGATCACGTTGTGTCTGCTTGCTGGAAAGTAGTGTTTGAACAATGCTTAATGAAGGGCTGCAACACAGACACATAGAAAACCCTTCTGTACACTGAAGGACAGATTTTCAAAGATATTTTTAAGCATTAAGATATTTATATAACCTGCCATTTCATTTTAGATGCTGAAACAGAAGATGGAGTTCTTGAGAGCCCCACCCTGAGCACTTCTCTGTAGTTCTGAAAAGGAGCCACTCACCTTCCATGAGATTAGTCCTACTGCCATCTGCTGTCACAAACACACCAGTGCCACGCTGTCTGCAGAGTATTTTTTCTTTCCTTTTATTCCAATATTGCTATTCGAAATTATCTAAAACACAAACTAATTTGTCCAGAGAAACTTAATAGTAAATCAGTGTATTGACACTTTTATACCTTCACTGCTAGAGCATCAACCCTGAAGATCCTGGTTTCATACACAGCTTATTCTAAGGGTCATTCACATGAGTAAGTATTAGCGGGATCAGGTTCAGATCCCAAAATTGTTTGGGTTTTTTGTTGTTGCTGAGTTTGGGGAGATGTGGGGGTGTTGGTCGATCGTTTTGTTGGTTTTGTTTTTAACACTGGCAGTATTGCTTATTATTATTGTTATTAGGAAAAGGTTAAGACTCTGAACAGGCCAGACTACTAAGGCTGAATTGCTCCCACCTTATCCTTATGTGATCATGCAAGGAGGCTGAAACCTTTAGATTAAAACAAACTAGAAAAGGTTAAACAAAATCTAAAACTGCTGCATACACCAGTTTAAACAAAAAGGTATGAAAATCAATTACTCAAATCTACCTCTTGCCTACTGTTTCAATGAAGTCTAGTTAAGCTAACTCTGGAATTTCTCTTGGGACCACTGGAAGGCTTTCTGCCATCACCTCTGGTGGTGCCATACTTCAGAAAGCTAACTGCCATCCAGTGTTACAGGTTCTTCTCAGAGCACAGGCAAACTGCTATCCTCCCTTCAAGTATTTCAACTAAGAATACAGCAGCTAAAACAACAAAAAGAAGCTTTCTGCCCATTGCTCAGCCATACACTTTTTGGCAAGACATAATAAGCAGTAAGCTGAAAACAGTGTAATTTGTCATGAGGAGTTTTAAAAACAATGCAAAGTGGAATGTAATTGCAGAAACTGAGCAAGATGGTGAAATTCTGGATTCTTCCAGTGGAAAACAGTGCTGGTGTCCAAACACAACTCCAGTCAGATATAACAAAGGCACATGGCTTAAGCTGGTTGCACTAATACAGCAGAGGGTAAAATGCAGGACATTGATTTTGTTACAGTGATTTCTTTTTACAAAACCAACTGTTAAAGTCATCTTTAAGCTTCTTGGGTTTTTTTCAATAAGCACATTACTTACTGCTCAGCATAAGCCCAATTCAATTTGATGACTACCACAATATCACACAAATGTGAAACTGAAAGGCCTTTCATACATTGCACCTCTTGTTTGAAGAAAAAGCAAAACATCCTGAGCTATCTCTCATTCTAGGATGAGATTTACAGGGCAATTTATAGGCTGTATGTTGGTAAACTCATGTTATCAAGTATGATAATCAGTAAAAGGCTGAGAAAGCTGGGCTTTTGCAGCCTGGAGAAGGCGTAGGGGAGACCTCAGAGCAGCTCCAGTGCCTAAAGGGGCTCCAGGAAACCTGGAGAGGGGCTTTGGACAAGGGCCTGTAGGGACAGGACAAGGGCAATGGCTTTAACCTGCCAGAGGGGAGACTGAGATGAGCTCTGAGGCAGAAGCTCTTCCCTGTGAGGGTGCTGAGGCGCTGGCACAGGGTGCCCAGAGAAGCTGTGGCTGCCCCATCCCTGGCAGTGTTCAAGGCCACGTTGGACACAGGGGCTTGGAGCAACCTCCTCTAGTGGAAGGTGTCCCTGCCCGTGGCAGGGGGTTGGAACTAGATGACCTTTTATGGTCCTAAACCATTCTAGGATTTGATGAACTTACAGTATCACCAATACTTTCCATATTTGCAGACACTTGTGAAAGTATTTTTCTTTAGCAGGCAGGGAAGGATTCATACACTCTACAAAAAGTTAGACATCTATGTCAATTGCCTACATTTTGACAAAATGCAGGGGAATAGGAGGAAGTCACATCACGAGCTACCCTCTGATCCTGCTTGTCTTCAACACTCCCCTCAGAACAGTACTGGCCAGTGAAAGACATATATCTTACCGTTTTCTAAACATCACCCCACCCAAATATAACAGGACTATAAGAACACTTATTTTACACTATTTGTTTTAAAGCAGATGGACAACTGACAACATACACAAACCAGGTACATTTTCAAGCACAGCTGTGATAACTGAACATGTTATCAGTGTCAACTGAACAGTGAAATACTTTGGATTAAATAGTAAATAACTTATGTTTTCAGGATGTTCTGCCATAACCACCCATTTTATTGTCCAAAGATATACTCTTCCTAGACAATGTAAGAAATACTGCATAAGAAATACTGCAATATGCAAAGATTATACCCTTTTTTACCGTTTTAATAGAACTTCTTGATCTTTCTTTCCAAACATTACTGCTCAGCTCCATTGTGCAATGAACGTTTGCTTCTCTTTCATAGGATCCAAACATAAATAATCTGAAATAGAAAAGCCTACAGTAAGAACTATAATACTGATACATGTTCTAGATATCGTATTAACTCACCATTCTTCTTTTATACACTCTGTTACTATCAACATGCACACACAAAGCAGCCCATACTGAAAAGATACTGCAGGCACAGTCTTGTGCCAAAAGAAAGACACTGCCACCCTCTAGTGGAACAACTCTATAAATAGCAAATATAACTTAAATTTTTTAGCTATTTTTTTGGGTTTGGGGTTGTTTTAGTTTTTGCTATCATGTTTCCATTTTTCTTTTCTTACATAAAGTGTTCAATCGGCAGACTAGTATTTTTCCATAAAAGTGTAAATTCTCAGGGTTTGGGGAGGTTAAGCAAAAATACCCACAAGTTTTCCATTCTAATCCTAAACTTCACAATATACTGCAGCTCTTCTTCATTCAAGAGTGTTACTGTAGTGTAAAGTCACAGTTTAGCCCTGCTAATGCTTCCATTTCACTAAACTGGGATCCTCTCACATCTGTAATATTTTCTAACATAACAAACAAGCAGTTAGTTCTTCATGCACAATACCCTATTCCACAAGGCTATAAGGGTTTCAGGTAGGTACCAGTACTATAAAAGAAACAAACAATAACTTTCAGCCTACAGAACAGCAGTAAAGTTGGACCCAGTAGCTGGAAGCAGATAAATATTTTAGAATAGAAACTTCAATCTTACTACTTCAAAAGATCTCTAAGATTTTAATTCCCCCCCAAACTTCCTGTACACTTTTGACAAGGGCAGTTTCTAAGCTTTCATCCAAAGTATCTTACTTGTGATTGTGATGTGTTACATAACTCTTCATATGATATAGACGAAAGCTGTCAGAAAAACATGTCAATTTTCTGTTTATGCTAATGATGTTAAATAGTGTTTCTAGGTTAAATAGTCATGATCAGAAAGTGCCTAACCTTCCAGATGTGGAGATATACAGTAAACGTGCTATGAAAATGTAATAAAGCTACTGAAAACAACTTCCAACAACAATTGGAATTGGTGAAATTAAGCCAGTCCTAAGGGACAACACCTCTCTGGCTATGACAGCTCTCCAGCTTGCACTGCAGCAAGGACAGCTGAACAAATAGTTCTATGTCTCTCTATGAAGAATGTGTTTAACTGGTTTTTAGCTGAGTATATGAATTCATGTGGGAGATGATGGTACCCAGCACACCTGCTTTACCAAGTGTCAACTGGTTTTGGCTTAGAGATAGTAGCAGTATCCTGTAACCCCATTCTCAGAGGGACAGCTCCCATGATCTAGGAAAATGCCACAAAACCCAATTTCCAGCTTGACCTTCAGCACTCATTTCTCTATTACTGTAAGCAGAAATCCAGCTGCAGAACCAACTGAGCAGGTACTTTGTCTGGACAAGACCAAGTTTGTTCAAGGTTACTAGAACTGATGAACTCAAACCTCCTTTACTTAATTTTAAGCCGCCACTTTCCTGTTCTGCTTTCAGTAGTTGCTTTTGGGTAGCACAAGTTTTCCTCAGTGTCTAATTGATATCAGAGAGTTCACTAAAGCTTTTCCACAGCTAATCATTGGTTGCATGTGTTTCACCTTCACCTAGACACACTCTTGGGGAATTTTCCAGGGGTGCTTACTGTCCCTCTAAAATACCAGCACAGTAGCTATTTAGCTGTGTTGTACTGGTGGCAACTAAGAAAACAAGGACAGAAGGTAGCTGGAAACACGAATAAACCATAATTTTCATCCAGAACTGTAACACAATAGTCACAAGGAAAACAATGAACCATGAGATTTCACCTTACAGTAGGTTACCAATACCCAGCTTGAAGAAACATCACGAAACAGTGAAACTACACATTTAAATTTTAAACAGCTCTTCATGCTGGTGTTTGAAATTCAGTTTCTAGTTTCAGAAAGACAAAGGGGAAATTTTACCTGTTCCTACACTAAGGAAACTTTTGTTTGAATAATACCTGTTTTGTATTCTGTAACACAGCTGCAGATAAAGACTGACACTGTCACACAATACACCCAAAACCCCAGCTAGTAAGATATATATGTATCTTACAGACTGAAAGGTTGTAAATCAGTATGAAATGGTATATGAAAGACATCCTGAAACAAAGTTTAGAACCCCAGCTATAATTAAATTGATAAAGCAATGTGATTAAATTACCACCTGAATAATTGAAATATGCATACAGAAAGTGAATTTCTGCTTCTTCCCGAATTGTAGATTGGATGGTTCCCTACAGCAAGCAAGCATGATGTAGAGAAGAGTGATTCAACAGAGTAGCTATGGATATGAACACAGTTAACACAGTTGTTTGTAGCTGTCCTGATTTCCAGTGTGAGAGCTACAAGAGCTCCAAGACATGAAGTGTTTGTCCTCCAATACAGAAGAGCATGGAGGGTGTGCTCACCTCAGCTCAAGAGGTGAGCCAAGCCAAGAACTTAAAGCCCTTATAGCCGTGTTTATGCATCCTCCTTTCTGGAAGACTATCAAATTCTCTGTCTTTTCTAAGATGATGCTAAAGTATTGAACTGCAAATCTAAAAAGAATCTGGTATGGGCAAAATACACACAAAGCTTTAGTAACATGTTATTTATTACCAGGTATGTAAAAGGAACCTGAATGTATTTTCTTTACAAGCCTTTCCTAATTCTTTTTAATTACAACTGTGGCCTTTCAATTTGTAAATATTTTAACGTAGTATTTCCCCGACTTTAAGAACTCAAAAGCAGATTCGATATTCACACACTTAAAGGTGCCACTGCTGCACGCTGAAGTGCAATGAAGACAAAACAAAACAGACCCATAAAACTCCAAATTTGACAAGTCAGTCCCAGATGTGTTCTGTGGTATTTTACTAAATAATTATCTAGGGACAATCTCCTTGTCTGCAATGGTTATCTATTAAAACAAATGCTGAATTAGAAAGCCTACTTGATGGCACAGCTTTCAAAGAGTGTTCTTGACTAATCAGAGCTTATAGGCTTTAAGACTTCCTTCACAGTGTACCTTTAAAATCTAACAGTATGCTGCTTTGTTTTTCCCTTTTCCTTAAAACCTTCAGGTAATGACAGATAACAGCATTTTTACAATGACCGAGTTCTGTGAGGGCATCGCATTTGTACAAGAAAACTTACATTTTCAGTAAGTCTGACAAAACTTTGCAAAACATTCCTTATTATTTACACCAAAGTTCCCATCCTTTGATTCGTTTCATTTTAAAGATGTGGAAAATTTAATTTTTCTTTCAATAGCATGACAGCAAGGAAATTAATATGGTCAAGCCTGCAATTGGAAAAGAAACAAGTGCAAGAAGTGCAGATATTTGGTCATGTGAAGAATATACTGAAATTAAAACTAGACATTTAACATACAAGTAGTTTGCTAGATGTTTTATCACTCTAGTTTTACCACTGTATTTCAGACTTAAGCAGGAGAAGTAGCAGAACTCTGTTACCAGACTAGATGGAATACAAATGTTGCTATCCAGAAATTAAGAAGTTAAGATTTTGTAAAGGGCTCTTTGTGTGAAAGCTTGAAAATCTTGAGTTTAGAATTGCATGTAGCAAGGAAAAACAGTGTTTCCTTACAAGTTGACAGACCTTGAGGAGAGGTAGAAGGCTTATAAAAGAGACCATCTGGATCTTACTCATGGAACATGTGTATATATAAATATATTCTGTGTCTTTAAACAGAGACAAGAGAATGTAAGAACACACTGAATTTTCACTGTGTGAAATGTATAGACGTGGACAGCTGACAGACTGAGGTGCTTTGTGGAACTATCCTCTTGCAGCCACCTTTGTGCAAATATGAATATAAGAGTATCTCAACTCTGTTTGCGAGGAGGGCTTATTGCACACTGGGTGAATAAGCCCACATTTGGGACAACATCAATGGTCAAGAATCCTGCTCCACATTCTGCACAGAACTCAGGGAATAGCTACTGTACTGAGAGTATGAAAACCTTCTGGGGCACCGAGCAAACCTGAAACACACACAGAAATTAAAGTGATCTTTCATTCGGGAATGAAAATGATCGCCAAGAAAAATTTTCAGGTCTCTGTGGCAGACATGAGTGAAAAAAGCTTTGCATTTCAGCATGTACTGCTGTACTGTAAAAGAACCATTGAGAACAGGCAACCTTCACACCAGCTCACATACAGTGGTGATGAAAAGAGGAAATTGTGTCATTGTTATTTCCCTAC